AAGTCACGAAAACACCGAGTCTATGAACTCACTGCTTCTGATATCACAACCAGGTCGACTGCGAAGGACACATTTATTAGGTAAAACGACTTGATATCTGAAAACGATGATATTCCCATGTCCATCAGCATCAAAGATCAGAAAATCATCCAGGAACCTATAATGGGGTTTCACAAGCCGTATTACGCGAAGTGGCGGCGTGAAACTCGGTGAAAAACGCCGCGTTTTTTACCGATATATTTTTCACTAGTGTTTTTCATATCACTAGGGTCAAGAAACTCCATTCTTCAATCAGTTTCCCATGCAGATGTCATCACATTAGTGACATCATTTTCCCCACTATTATCAAACCCTGGGGAACGTTTTTTTCTCAAAATATAGATGAGTTCCTGGCCAAGACTTACACTGATATGCATTCTTTGGGACGTTGAACATACGACGGCAGATAGGGATACACAAACTCGTCGAATTCTGGACGCCAAAATGTGAACAGCTTTTCACCAACCTGAAATTCCAACACTATAGTAATTTTCGCTGAAAAATTAATATTGGAGTTTCTTGACCATAGTGATATGAAAAACACTAGCGAGAAACATATTTCACATTTCAAGTACTCGCGAAAAACGCATTTGAGCAGTGAATAACGCGTAAAACACGTGGTATGTGTTTTTCATGTGATATGGAGTGATTTGTCCGGTGTAATTCGCCAATTGTTTTCAATTCGCCACTTCATATCGCGTTTTCATATGGAGTATTACACCACTTCACGTAAAACGGGCGAAACTCCATTGATACATTCATCGTGTTCAAAAATGAAGTTTCACGATGACCCGTTTAACGTGAAGTGGCGGAATACTCCATGTGAAAAACACATTGAAAAATATATTCTTCTAGTGAAATGGGAAATATGTTTTCCACATCACTAGGGTGGAACTCCAATAATATGAAAACAGTCGAAAACCAATTTTTCACACATTCGCATCAGAAGAACGCGCGCACAGTAGTATCATTGGAGTTTCACGACCCGTTTTACGTCAAGTGGCGTAAAACTCGGTGTAAAACGCGATATTCGCGGTGATATGCAGTAGTCGTGAAATATATTTTTCATATCACTAGGGTGAAGAAACTCCATTATGAACCACAAAACAGCTTACCGCCCATTCACATTTTCTCTGTTTCTCATCTACTCGCAACACGCATTTTCTCAATTTTCTATTCAAACATTCCACATCAGTTTCACCAGGAGCCGCCTTTCCACCCAGTAAGCGATAACGACTTGACGGAGGCAACGAATTTCTGACGGAAAAAATTACGAAATTTTGCAGAAAAAACTCACATTTTGGGAGCTTCAGCTGAATCTGATAATAACAAACACGCTTGCTCCTCATAATGACAGAGAACAACACAGTAGACAGTTCCTGAAAAAATGGTAAAATACATACGAAAATTTTCAGAAAAAAACTAAATTTTACGCAAATTCTTATTAGTTTTTGTACACTCCTACCACAAATCTTGTGTAAATTTTGAGACTGCAAATTCTCAACCGAGGAAATTAATCACATATATATTCCACCACTGGAGTTTCACCCGTTTTTCGCGAAGTGCAATGCGAAATATGTTTTTCACATCACTAGGGTGAAACTCCACTGCAAAAAATGCAAACAAATTAACAATTGGGATCATTTAGAGCTCATTCGGCAAATAAAATAATTTTATACAAATTTTTCCCCTCAAATTTCAGAAAAAAATGGAAAAAGTCAAAAAAATTCTATAATTTAGTTTACTTCTCATTCCTTCGCTTTGCCAGGCTGCCAACCAATTCTTCGTCGGTACACCGAGTGACTGAAAAAAAATTAATTTCAATTCCATCACTGATGTTCCCATTCTGGACCTATTTCGTATCTTCCTAATTTCAACCTAAGATACTCTTCGAAAATTCCACACTCTCAGCGTTGGACGAATATACGTTCGCTTTCCTCAGGAGTTTATATAAAAAACAACAATAATTTCCTCATAATTTTCATATCGTCATCACCAACATATATGTACATATTTTCCCCCTACACTGGGTACTCCTCACCCGAGCGCCTTCAGTGTCACCACTCGTTCGTTGCATATCGTAATTCGCCAAGTTGTATATGTGCCAATCGCTTGTCATAATGAAAACGAACTCCTCTACGAAAGATACAGCAAGAAAAGTATTATTACACAAGACAATCGTCGGTGGGTGAATTTATCACAAAGTCGGATATTTTTACACCACTAAAATCGTTTGCTATACGCTGCTCTCAATGAGAGCGAAGATATTCACTTACGGCTGTTGTTGTTGACAATAAGAAAACTCCGATGAATTTTTTCCCCTGAAATTTCACCAGAAACCGTAAAATTTACAAAAAAGTTCAGCAATAACTATTAGAATTTCACGATGACCCGTTTAACGTGAAGTGGTGTAATACTCCTTGTGAATTATAAGACGTATATGTTTTTCCGCGACCGCCGATAACACAATTGTTTTCCGCAAAGTGAATTGGGAAATATATTTTTCATATCACTAAACTCCAATATAGAAACTAAAATGCATTAAAAAAGTGAAATTCATCGAAAAAATTACTAGAGAGGGAAGCAAACACATATTTCATCACCAGAAGTAGACACTATTTCTTCGATTTTTGGTAACAAAATTAAACTTCGCATTGCAAATTCATTGCGGTTTACCCTAGTTAAAATTACTCTCAATTTCCTCCTTATTAATAAGGACTTTTTCGACCAGTCAAATCTTCACTTCTTAAAATCGAATCGCTTTCGCGTCCCAAACAGCAGTGTTGGAGGAATATATGTTCGCTTTCCTCACTAGAAGTTTACAGAAACCAATGAGGAAAATTCTACAAAATTTTTTGTGCATATTTTTCCCCGAAAGTAAACCAACTATCAGTTAACACAAGAACATCATCAGCATCGTAGAAACGAAACTAACATGAAATGAAAAATTCCGTGACCGCGCGCCACAAAATTCTTTTATGCCGTATCGAGAATCATACTTGCCGGATTTTCGAGGTAGCCTTTGAAAGTGTTGGAGAAACGCGCAACAGTCGCACCTGAAAAAAATTCACATTTTTACCAAACTTTCAAATTTCCCGAAATTTCCTCAAAAATAACAAAATTTACCGAAAAAAATCCAAAATTTTTGGTAAATTTTTTCTTCCAACCTCACCATCAATATGCCTATGATCAGCCGACCAAGACACATTCACCACTTTCGCTGCATACACCTCCGAACCATCATCAGTAAACCTACGACATATACATAATCGATCACCAGGGCGCGCGCTACTTTCACTCACCTCGGCAGCGTCCTTATTCTTCCAGCACCACCAATAAGGGCTTGACCATCGAATAGAACGGCTTTCGAATAAGTCCCACCAATTACTCCGACGTTGGAAAACGATACCGTACCTCCTCGAATGTCCTCAAGTGTTAGCCGACCGCTCGAAGCGCGCGCCTATGGAAAACAATGAGAGAATTTCCCTCATTTTTAATCGGTGTAATCGCTTTCCTCAGCTGCTGAGCCCAGGAGTTTCCTATACAGTGTTGTAGTAGGAATATATGTAATCGCTTTCCTCAGCTGCTGAGCCCAGGAGTTTCCTATACAGTGTTGTAGTAGGAATATATGTAATCGCTTTCCTCAGCTGCTGAGCTCAGGAGTTGCCTATACAGTGTTGGAGTAGGAATATATGTAATCGCTTTCCTCAGCTGCTGAGCTCAGGAGTTTCCTATACAGTGTTGGAGTAGGAATATATGTAATCGCTTTCCTCAGCTGCTCAGCTCAGGAGTTTCCAAAGCTATTTATATGAATTCGGGTAGAAGTGAAATACATAAACTAATATAAATTTTCCAAAATTTCACCAGAATTTTCATATTATTACCAACTATATGCATATTTTTCCCCTCAACTACACAGAATTTTTTCCTACACTTTTTCCCAAGCCTAGTGCGAATTCTTGCAATGAAACTTCGTAAAATCCGCAAAAATTTTCCTTTTTTTGCGGAGAAAAAAATTATTTTCAATTCGCCTCTCTCTCACCTGTAGTTCCAAAATATCTTTTTGAATTTCAACCAAATTTTTCTTCTCAACATTTTTCACATTTGGTACCACCAACCCCTGCGGACTGTCTATTGCCATAGAAATATTATGATAACGATACACAGTGTAATACTCTCCGGATCTGAAAAAAAATTTACCGCGCGCCACAAAATTATTCCAACACCTACGGCTCAATTTTAGAGTTGAGTATTTCATGTTTCAGCAAACTCAACGACAATGCTTTCATCATCATCGCAGTTAGCGTCATAGAAGGTAAATTGTAGGGCGGCCCTTGAACCAGTTTTTTCAGATTCGCCTGAAAAAAAATAAATACCAACGTGGGAGGAAAAATATACATTCAGTGGAGTTTCTTCACCCTAGTGATATGAAAAACACTAGTAAAACTCCATTATTTTTCTGAATAGTATGGGGGAAAAATCGAAAAATTTTGAGAATTTTTTGGAGTTTCACCTGTGATATGGAAAACACTAGTGAAAAAGAATATATTTCACGACTACTGCATATCACCGCGAATATCGCGTTTTTTACGGAGTATTACGACGCCACTTCACGTGAAACGAGCGAAACTCCAGTATCGCCCTCCCGAGTAAACTCACCTGAACTCTCACTAGTTCATCTACTCTTATTTCCTCTCCCAAATTCATATGCGGCGCCGCTAATGCTGCGGTCATCGATCGTACCATAGCTGCGGCCACACCCCTCAAGAGGGAAACTCGATAAGTAGAATTTTCCGAATTTTTTTCGGAAAATTTTTCCTCAACTTTTTTTTCTTTTTCGGTCGACCTCAGAACATCTTCCATAGTCACCCTCCCATCTGGTCCTGAACATAAAAACGAAAATTTCCAAAAATATGCGGAAAATTTCTTTCCGGAAGAATTTTTCCACCACATAATGAAAATTTTCACATAACTATAATAGAAAAAACAACAATGGAGTTTCACCCATTAGCGAAAAACCCATTTCACATTACACTTCGCGAAAAACAGGTGAAATTTGTCAAAATTTTACTACAGTGGAGTTTCACTCGCTGTCGCTCACATATGAGGAGGCAAAACGGGTTGTCTTCCAGGGTGGTATGCGCCTGTTGTATTTTGATAAATTTTGATTTTCTGTACCATCAACTAACTGGGATAGGGGTGGCAAATCAGAGACAGGTTTCCCTAGGATATTTCAAGTGTTGATTTATAGCCAGTGCAAGGTTTGAGCCATGCATAATGATTCCAAATATGCGTATTTCGCGCAAAACGCGTAAAACGCGAAATAATTTCGCGTTTTGCATATCACATGAAAAACACCTCACATGTTTTACGCGAAATTCACTGCTCACATGCGTTTTTCGCGAAGTGAAATGTGCTCTTCACTAGTGTTTTTCACATCACGGGTGAAACTCCAATAAACAAGTGATGAAAAAATTTACATATTTCATCATTCACCAAACGGAGGACACCGAAAATTGTAAAACAGTTTTAACTATATAAAAATGATATTCGCACTTGTCGGAGCTCGACTATTCCGCATTTTTCGATTTGGAAGTAGACAAATAATGATTGCGTTGTCGTTTGGGAACCATAATTCTCTATTTTGGTATAGGTCCCCGGTTCCATCCCCGGGGGGGGACCATATTCTCCACTCGCTTCGAAATTTATATTATATAAGTAGAATAATCGAGTTTCTTCACCCTAGTGATATGAAAAACGTATTTTACGACTACTGCATATCACCGCGAATATCGCGTTTTTCACCACTTCACGTAGATGATATTTTTCATTACTATATAAGCTCTATACACATACCATAAAATAATTAATCACATATTCAAAAACTCCTTCCTCACCTGAGCCCACTAGCGTGTTAATATCAATGCCCTTTTCCTTAGCTGCTTGCCTAACCATAGGGATGGCCGAAACTCTCATCTCAGAATTTTTCAACGATTTTTGGTATGCTGAAGAAATACAACATAATTTATACGCATATTGATTCTCCCGGGTAAATAGTAAGCGATGATATTAAATTTTTTATACTCAAATTTACTGTTGGAAGTATGTTCGCTGAGCTCGAGAGTCTGGTCGGTGAAAATGTAATACAGAAACCAATAGTAATTTCCATATTGTCATCACCAACACATGTAGTTGACCATGTGCTTACTCCCCCCCCCCCAATTTCACCACAGAAAACATATACGACAAGGACTACAGTAAAAAGTACAGAAGACCGAAATTTTTATGCAACCAGCACATTATCAAGTGTCCGATTTTTTCCCGTTTCCTCACTATGATGACACATTTAAACGCAATTTATGGTGAAACTGTACAAGAAAAAACCAACGAAAATTTTCGCGAAATTTTCCCGCGAATATAAATAATAATTTTTTAACAATATATTTTTGATATTAATATTTTTTTCGTGTAATTTGCGATAAATATATTTCCCTCAAATTTGAAACCTTTCGCACTACTACCACAACCACTACTACTACTACTACTACTACTACTACTACTACTACTACTACTACTACTGTTATCCTCTTCCACACGTTTCTCCGTTGCCACACTCCCGAGTTCTTCTTCCTCCTCATCCTCCTCAGATTTTTCAACTTCAATTTCGGCCAACACCGAGCCCACTTTCGCCGTGTCACCAGCGTTACACCTGTCCATTGCTAATTTTGTGGCGCGGTGACACAATCAATTTCGAGATATAAACTATTATCATAGAATATACAAAATGCTCGAACAAAGCTTCACAATGAACTTACCCTAGACGCCTTATTGTCCCTCTACGACGACTTGTAATATCAACTACCGCCTTGTCGCTTTCAACAGTGCATAATCTATCCATCTCTTCAACATGGTCCCCTGAGAGAAATGTTGGGGGAATTATGGTAAGTATGACCAGTCGCGTGGTATTACACCCTAGTGATATGAAAAACACATTTCACTTCGCGTAAAACGGAAAGTAAAGTCCCACTTTTCCTATTTTCATCGCTCCGCATTCCTCTAATCATAAAGTCAATATAAATTTATGTTATAAAAAAATTTCCCAAATTTTCCCAGGAAAAAAAGTAAAAATTTTATTAATTTACCTTCTTTAACATACCACTCCATCACCGACACCTCGCTTATCCCCTCCCCAATGTCAGCCAAATGGAAAGGGACAATTCTTGTGTTCTGGGAAGATGAGGAGGAAGCATCGGAAGATGCCGTCCTAGTGCTGTCGTTCAGAACTGCGGCGCCAACTGAGAGAAAAATCGAACATATACGATTCGATCTCGAGAAAGAAGTCTAATTGGATATAATAATGCTATATGGCATATAAATTTACATATAATGCTCGCTGAATGTATTATTAGTAGTATTGGAGTTTCTTGACCCTAGTGATATGAAAAACACTAGTGATAAACACATTTCACGACTATTGCATATCACCGCGAATATCGCGTTTTTCACCGAGTTCACGTAAAACGGGTCGTGAAGCTCTATTACTATCGGTAAAGTAAATGAGAAATCATAATAATTATTATGAAATAGCCCTTCCTGCTCATGAATTGGTATAAAATGAAGAGAATATATATGCGATAACATCAACAGGAATAGATCTCGATACCTCGCGAGAGTTAAACCAATATCATGACCACTACACCATCTATACAGTGTTGGAGGAATATATATTCACTTACCTCAGTTGAGCTCAAGAGTTCCCCCACTAAAATTTCATCCCATATTCACATCAACCAATGAAAAAACTCCCCGTAAATTTCCTCATAATTTTTATATTTTCACCGACGCATGTAGTTGACCATACGCATACTCACCCCCATCATCATCACTGAGCGCCACTCCCTCTTTCCTCTCCTCCTCTTCTTCCTCCTCTTCAATTTCCAACAGCACTTCTCCAACCTTAGCCGTAGTATTAACATCGAACAACAATCGCTTTACAACTCCACCGTAACTAAAATACCCATTTTTCGTAATAATTTCGTGGCGCGCGAAATTTTCCCTACCTGCTGGTGATGTCCACCGCCGCCTTGTCACTTTCCACTGTGCATAGACGATCCATCTCCTCTACTTTATCACCTGACTGAAAGCCAATTCATCATCATCACTACCACATCAGCACGCATGCACATAAAAATCATCCGAAAATGAAATCCACTATTACTTTATTATGATGATGATTGACATTCGAGCAATAAAATATGTTTCACCACAACATTTAATCAGAATCATCGTTGAACTCACAATAGTGTCATTCACATGAGCGAAGCGAAACACATATATTCTTCGGGTAGTGACACATTTCCACATACACGGTTTCGATTTCATACGAAATATACCCTAAATATGATCGTCTGCTGTTATCAATGACATGTTGTCCCCCCAAAGACGGACCCTTTTACTACCCGGTTTAACATACCACTCTTTAACTTCAACTTGACTTATACCTAAAAACAACTTCGAATTCATACACTGTCACTAGAGCAAGAATATGGCCACTTCAGCCTCCAATTCTCTACCATAAAGTACTATAGGCATCCTCCCAAAATACTATATAGACGATTTATGACCGACGGTTTTCGGTGACAACATTGGCTTACTCACTGTAGAGTTGATATATTTCAAACACGAAGCCAATATCCCTCGTATGAAGCTCCTCTACTACTACTACTACTACTACTACTACTACTACTACTACTACTACTACTACCTTCTCCGATATCAGCAAGTCTAAAGGGCCTGAGAGCTCCTAATAACATCCCACTTCTCCAGAAAGATATATGTCGGCGTATGACGTGAGTAGATAACATGTCGACACCAGTAAGGGAACAACAACTACAGAATGGCGGGACAAAACTCAAGGTCATCACCACCACCACACAGTGATGAAATTATATGTCAAAATTCTACTCATGATTCATGAGAGTGAATAAGTCGAATCATACTTTATACTTGACACTTGTCCGTATGAGAGGTTATACTTGCCTCAAGCGGAGCTTTCATCAATCACCATCGTGCAGCAGCATTTTTTCACGCACTATCATCTTCCTGCGAATCGTGCGTGCAAGGACATCTAGGCGTGACCCTGTCCCTGCTTGAATATGCGTTCGTCAGGTAGAGTGTGTTTATCAGTAGGGACATCGCCTCCTCCTCGATTTCCCTTCGAGAGTCGTGATGTTGATCCCACACTTCAGCCGAGGAGTAATAAAAATATCTTTGGAAGTATCAGTGGCTCTTTACGGTACGTGTCACCAAAGATATGATAGAATGGGACAATTTAGGAGGACAATGGTGGGGCAGCTATGCCACACCGAGATGCGTCTTGTTAATATCGATTTAGGACGACAATGGGGCAGCTATGCCACACCAAGATGCGTCTTGTTAATATCAATTCAGGAGAACAATGGGGCAGCTATGCCACACCAAGATGCGTCTTGTTAATATCAATATAGGACGACAATGGGGCAGCTATGCCACACCAAGATGCGTCTTATTAATATCAATATAGGACGACAATGGGGCAGCTATGCCACACCCAGATGCGTCTTGTTAATATCAATTTAGGACGACAATGGGGCAGCTATGCCACACCAAGATGCGTCTTGTCAATATCAATTTAGGACGACAATGGGGCAGCTATGCCACACCAAGATGCGTCTTATTAGTATCAATTGAGGAGGACAATGGGGCAGCTATGCCACACCAAGATGCGTCTTGTTAATATCAATTTAGGACCACAATGGGGCAGCTATGCCACACCAAGATGCGTCTTGTTAATATCAATTCAGGAGAACAATGGGGCAGCTATGCCACACCGAGATGCATCTTGTTGATATCAATTTAGGAGGACAATGGGGCAGCTATGCCACACCGAGATGCGTCTTGTTAATATCACTTTACGAGAACAGTGGGGCAGCTATGCCACACCAAGATGCGTCTTGTTAATATCAATTTAGGAGAACAATGGGGCAGCTATGCCACACCGAGATGCATCTTGTTGATATCAATTTAGGAGGACAATGGGGCAGCTATGCCACACCGAGATGCGTCTTGTTAATATCACTTTACGAGAACAGTGGGGCAGCTATGCCACACCAAGATGCGTCTTGTTAATATCAATTTAGGAGAACAGTGGGGCAGCTATGCCACACCAAGATGCGTCTTGTTAATATCAATTTAGGAGAACAGTGGGGCAGCTATGCCACACCAAGATGCGTCTTGTTAATATCAATTTAGGAGAACAGTGGGGCAGCTATGCCACACCAAGATGCGTCTTATTAAGACTAACTTTGCCACGTGGGGCAGCTATGCCAGAGGCATCATACCACCCCAAGATATGCCCTACTACAGGCTTGTCCTCCCATAGTACCTTCCATCGTCCCCCCTAGCCTCCGCCTTCAACTATTACATCGACAACTACAACATCTACAGATGGTCCTACTGAACACCCTACCATCCATACACCACTCTGTAAACTGTCCCTAGACGCATCATCAACCACCCAGTACATTAACCACTGTAATGAGTGTGAATACATCTGTGTCATCTCACTTGTGATTCCTGAGCACCTCAGTAGCTACCGACTTCAAACTCGACACAACACAATGAGATCTTCGTCGTAATAGGCGAGATTGAAAGATGAATGATGATGCTAATACCATACAAGATAATGACCAAGGTCTTGAGAACGTCTTTAAACTATCTACTCCTCACCAAACATGAATAATAGTCGGTCTTAGCTGAGGTAATGATGATGAAAAAGTGCCGCCGAACAAACAACATACGGCCATTCAAAGGCAGAGACTTCTCTCGTTATCCAACAACAATTAAGGCCAGCAATGAACCACCAGAAATTTAAACAACAACAACAACAAAGACGACAATCACAATCGCCTCCATTTATCACCCTCTACCATAGAATGCCGTGCTCACCAGATTTTGAGAAAATTCCTCAATACTTCCATCAGTGGGAGTATATCGATTGTGATTATGATTATGATGACGACGAGATGCTGAGTCGTTAGACTTCATATGATGACTTTCCTCGCTCGTCGATGCATTTGTGTTGTACATACCCATCGCTCCATATTGATCCCCAGTGTGCAGATCCTCTTGTGCTCCGTCTTGATGCAATTCAGTTTGCTTCAGCAATCTTATAATCTGTAACTTCTCCTTCTTACGACGCTTTAGTTCACCAGGAGGACACCTATCAACCAAGTGAATAATTCCAAAACGGGAATTCTTCACGCACTAAAATATACACTTCCGACATGCTATCATGATAAAGAGTGACTCCCAGGATTGATCTCCCATAATCGTTCGTTATTACAAATGACAGACTCGCATTGTGCACCGTG